CAGTACTACTACGACCACGAGTACTACCAGTACTACTACGCCCACGAGTACTACCAGTACTACTACGACCACGAGTACTACCAGTACTACTACGACCACGAGTACTACCAGTACTACTACGACCACGAGTACTACACCGCCAACTTCCACAACGTTCATCACTGGTACCACCACCACCCCTGGATCGAGTACCACTAGCACTACTGGTATTCCGGATTGTGCCGACGCCGATGCATACTGTGATTCCGTGATCCCCGGCTCTTATTGTGAGTACTGGAGGAGTCCAAGCACTTGTCAAAGAGACCGCCGTTTAGACGACAATACCCGTCGTCTGAGTGATGATGATGATGTCCAATGTGCTTGTGGAGAGTCTACCAGCAGTACTGTTTATGCTAACGAACCCTAGACGTTTGCTCACGTCACATCCTTCAAGTTGAACTCGTCCTAGAGTTCAGTTAGAGAGGCACTTGACTTTAAAATTAATTCGACTGTTGATATTTCGGGTTGACTACAGACCAATTGCTCCTGCCTCGATTTATCATTTCTTCTTAAATTGACTTATTACAGATTTTGACTATTTTGATCAACAATTGACAGAATGGTTGGAAAATATCGTATCAATAATCTAATATATTTTTTCAATAAATTATTTCCTAAACTTCTATTGTTGAGATGAGTAATAATTAGATATTTCAGCCGTACTTATTCCGTGGACGATGTTGATCTCAGATACGTGCAACAACTTAGAGAGTGGGACCTAAAATGAATCTTCCAGTGAGCAACCTCGGATACTTTTGTGTCACTTGTCCCCCTCTCTCTCTCTTCCTTGCTCATCGACGCTAGTACTTCGATCTCAGTGGTCGAGACGGAATATATGTTCGCTTTTCTCAACTGAGCTCGGAATTAAATGTAAAAGTGCACAGAAATCAATTTTCTACAGGAAAATTCTTACTGTCAACTTGTACACATTTTAGGTATTTTCAAGTATGTCGACTCCAACTGAAATCTCGCAGGCACTCTACTTTGACGACATCACTCGAGAGGAGGTTTCCAAGTGCTCCCGAGCAGACTGTATTCACCATCCTGATTCTGCTGTTGGAATTGACCGAATGGACTTCCAGACTGTTATGAGGACTACTAAAGGTCTTTATATTTATCTATGTGATACGTGTGGGCAGCAAGCACTTCACGAACAAGGAGTTGTTATTGCTTACGACCATGATTCCTGCGATTCCCAGAAGTTCGCAAAAGTTGTCGCTGCTGTTTTCTCATCGAAGAATGTCAAAGTGCATTTTATTCTAAAAGCGTCTCCGTTAACTTCTTTTCTCGTAAAAAGAGACGACTACCTCTGCGGGGTCCAAATCTCGGCTACGAGTGGGTATAAAATTTACAGTAGTGGTGGAGCTCAGATTCTTCCATGTATTGAAAAACTGATCCTTGATAGAGTTGATTCGACACCCTGGGAAGAGTCACTCGATGATACTGCTGAAGGCAATCTATGTTCTGATGATGATATTGTGGTCTCCTATATCGATCAAATCAGCAGAGAATTATGTCGTTATTTCGTTTTAAACAACAAGTGCAAGCTACGGTTCGTATATAATACTACTATGCATGGTCTTGTTGGTTTACAGCTACTATCGGAATTTGGTTTTCCGAAGAACTCAATCGTGGAGCGTGAGAACTCTGATGATGCCGACTACATTATCAACAACAACTGTGATGATACTGTCTTCACGGTAAGTGAAAAGCAACAAAATGGGAGTTGGTTTAATTTCAGTGGTGATGAAGTTGGTCTCCTACTTGGCGATTGGCAATTACTTATGGCACGCAACCGAGGTGTCCCTGCTGAAAATTGTCTACTATTATCAACAATTTTCAGCTCGAGAATGCTAGCAGGGTTATGTAGATATTACTGTTGTCGGTACGTGGAGACTCTTCCTGGTTTCAACCACCTCACCCGCACTTCTATCAAGCTGGCCAATGACGATCCCGATTGGGTGCATTGCCTCGCTTATGATCAATCTAATGAATTCGCATTGACTTTGACGGTACCCGATAGTGATGGAGTTTCTGCTGCGGCCGTCTGGTGCGAAATGGCGAATTTTTGGAGAGTAAATAAGAAGATTACGATGAAGCAAAGGCTTGGTCAACTTCAGCAAACTATTGGTTATTATGTTCGTGATAATGGCTATTATTACAATTCTCATCATTCTACCGAACTTGGGAAAATTTTTGAAGATTTACGAAGTGGTGGTAAATATATGGATATTTTGGGGAATTCTAAAATTTCCCATGTGCGTGATTTTACCCGCGGCATCGACACTCGTGTGAGTAGCGGTAAAAGTTCCTTCCCGGTCGTTTCTGAATGTGATATTATTACACTGTATTTTGAAAACGGCGTGGCGGTTACTCTCAGAAGTTGCGGAAAAAAATTAGAGTATTTTTCGGAGATGCGAAGTGTTGAAAGTGTCGGTATCGCCCAGAAAGAGCTCATGGCTGTGATGAAGGATATGGAGGAGTTTTTCGAGGTGCGGTATGGGTTGGAAAAAAATTGATGATTTTTTTGTTTATGCTTTTACTATGTGCTAGGTGTAATAATTTGTGGTATTTATATTTTTATGAATAAACGTAATTTTGTTAATTTCGAATTCATCAGAAATATGATAGTGTTGAGTTATGTAAATGTTGTGGGAAAATATGCATTTTTTTGGGAAATTTTTTTACGGTTCTCGATTACTTCTACCCGAAATGTCGTGTGTGAATTGATGATACTGAGGAAAGCAAATATATATTCCTACTCCAACACTGTATGGGAAACTCCTGAGCTCAGCAGCTGAGGAAAGCGATTACATATATTCCTACTCCAACACTGTATAGGAAACTCCTGAGCTGAGCAGCTGAGGAAAGCGATTACATATATTCCTACTCCAACACTGTATAGGAAACTCCTGAGCTCAGCAGTTGAGGAAAGCGATTACATATATTCCTACTCCAACACTGTATAGGAAACTCCTGAGCTCAGCAGCTGAGGAAAGCGATTACATATATTCCTACTCCAACACTGTATAGGAAACTCCTGAGCTCAGCAGCTGAGGAAAGCGATTACATATATTTCTACTCCAACACTGTATAGGAAACTCCTGAGCTCAGCAGCTGAGGAAAGCGATTACATATATTCCTACTCCAACACTGTATAGGAAACTCCTGAGCTCAGCAGCTGAGGAAAGCGATTACATATATTCCTACTCCAACACTGTATAGGAAACTCCTGAGCTCAGCAGCTGAGGAAAGCGATTACATATATTCCTACTCCAACACTGTATAGGAAACTCCTGAGCTCAGCAGCTGAGGAAAGCGATTACATATATTCCTACTCCAACACTGTATGGGAAACTCCTGAGCTCAGCAGCTGCCATGTTTTCTCGAACTAAGAGCTCAGGAGTTTACATAAAAAATCGGGTAGAAGTATATTCTCTGAATATTACAGTGAGTAAATGGCTACCTCTCCTTTCGTCGTTCACGATGCTGTCGGCCTCGCGAGCTACCCGTGTCGGAGGAACTTCATCGCAGTCGATGAGGATAGGGTTATCTACGTTTCGGGAGCAAACATAGTAGGAAGGGATGAATTTCGAATAACGTGTTATAATTGTTGTTTGAGTAATGTAGATTTTGGTTTACAATTTTCGAAAAATTTTGGAATTTTCATATTGTCACCAACACACACATATTATCCCACAATACAAAATCCTTATTAATACGTATCGTTGGAATATATATTTGCTTTCCTCAGTTGAGCTCAGAAGTTTCCAAACTATGTTATGGTAAATTCACACACGACTTGGAGTAGAAATATTTGAAAACCAACAATAATTTCCCCAAGAAAATTTTCATATTTTCACCAACACCATATACATATTTTCTGTAAAGGTCCTATACGATTGTAAGGCTTCTCGTCCCCTCGCGGTGTCTCCGAGTATTCCTATAAAGCGGGTCAAGGAAGGATCAATATATGAAAACGTGAAGTTTTCGGCTGTTGAAATTACGGCGCTCGCGGTGCCCCGGAGTGGTATTACGTTTTGGGATAATGTTGAAAATTATGGGAAAATTTTTGGGAAATTCTGAAAAAAATCAGAAATTTCTTAGAAATGGTGACCGGTATTTTATTATTTTTTCTGCAAAA